AGGGATCTCAAAACTGGATTATAGATGGCAGAGAGTTGGTGTCGTAAACCACCGCCTCTAGTTCAAAGATGGTCGCTCACAGTGGACATAGATGGGGGGAAACTCCCACTAGGTTTATATCTGGGACTCTCCACCATTTGACCTTAGAACTGAAGAAGCTTCTCGGATGAGAGGTTAAACGTCTTCAAGCAACTTAAAGAAATCCAGACGCTTTTCTTTGCAAGCTCCTTTGACTGAACTACTGTACAGCAGCTGAAAACAAGTGAAAAAAGTGCACTATTACAATTTAAATAAATGAATTCATGTACCATAGGAATTGTACCTAATTTTGTTAACTTTGCCTTTCTGCACAAAGGCTCAGTGGTGGAGGAAGTATTTATCTTTTATATCCTATCAAGTATATTCAGTTGTAACGTTATACAAATTCTCTTTTTGGACATCACTATGCTACTCTTTGTGACTATTTTAGTCTAAAAAATCAACTACTGTCTGCTGTATTGTGGGTAATTCAAGCTCACGTTTTAATTTAAGTTTTAAAACCAACTCCCTGGCTGGAAGTGTATATTATTTTAAGTAGCTTACGCATCATGTAGGAGCTCACATAGTGGGCTCGGAAAGCAGGTGGGTGGTCTGTTAGTGGGTACGAAAGTCTGCTTAGAATGACAGGGGACATCCCTTGGTGCAAAAACATCTGCTGGCTTCAGAGGATCCGGATACACCCAGTCATAGCTCGTCTTATCACAGCAGCTGTCCTCCTCTATCTGCCCTCCTTTACGAATACACGATGCTCCACCACACACACCTGGAGGGGCAATTAAGACGTGAGCATGAAGATGTGACAGGAGACTTCTAATAGACACTCATACACTGCAGATGATATTTGTTGTCCCTTGTAGGCTTGTGCTGAGAACAGCTTGAGTCCTTATTGGGCAACATGTTTGTTTTCTTTGCCACTGTGAAAAAAATAACCTTTAAATTGAGACTGTCTGATAGGTCACGCTACACACATGCATGCACGTGCACAAACACAAACACAAAACACTTAATAATGACACACTAGACCAGGGGTGTCAAGGCCAGAGGGCCTCTCCAATGGCCATTTATATCACATTAATTATTTAACAGAAAAACAATTAAATGACAGAAAATTTACAGTATTTTCATTATACTCACCACATTGCCCCTGGGTGTTTTGGAGGAAGTGTTCCATGGCCAGACTGACCACCAGGGTGTAAAATGGAGTGAGGGAGACAAAAGAGCGGATCTCTGGGAGGTGAATAACCATCTTGTACCATGTGGTTTCGAACCTGAAACCATGCTCTTCATACGGTGGCTGTATGATCACGTTGTTTAGCGTGGCCTAAGCCAGATTGGATCAGGGTCAAACAATAAAACTAGAACAAAACAACTTGAAAACAGTCATACAGATAACTTCTGATTATCAGCAGCAGTAATAAATATGAGGATTCATGGCGGCAACAAGTATAAATAAAAGAGCACTGTAATATATCCTACTTGTACTGAAAACAAATGTGGAACGATAGTCAGTGTAGCCACATTGTTCTGATATTTCAGGATGATGCCTTTAACACAGGAGCCATAGAAACCCGGCACGCAATGGAAGTTGTCCACAACAATGGTCAGATTATGGCGTGGTGACTGCTCCTCCATCAATATATAGGTGCCTTGATTCAGGAAATCAAAGTCTACTCCTTGGAAAGAGATGTAGTGGGGATCCCCATACAGCTCACATTGGCCTGGAATTAATACAGGAAAAAATACGATTTTAGTCCATCTATGCATGGAACATGTGGAGATTAGAATATTATTTTACTGTTACTATTCATAAACATTATCATTACTGTTGTATTACTTATCATTTATCATTATCATTTCATCAGAGCATTTATTGAAGCTGTTGATGTTACATTAAAGTTTGTATTTCAGGTGTGAGCAGAATTACATAATAATCTTTCATTGCAGGTGCAACTGTAATCATGTTATACACATATTGCATTTTTGTGCTAATTAACCTCTTAAACCCCAAGCCTAACTGATCTCCTGCCTTTTGCCCCCGTATCAGGGGGCGTTGGAGCTTAAGAGGTTAAAGGGTTGTAGCTCGGTCAGTTAATTGATAATGGTCTGAAGCTTTGGTCAGCGCGACGTCTGGCCGATCAATTGGAAAATCTATCGAGCTAATGAAAGGATTGCATACATGCTTACAATACAATACACCACATATAACCTGTAAACAGAATAGAGGCCTGTGTGCACTCAGCAGCCTGCTGTATTGGAGTCTGCCTGGTAACAGATGACTCAAACGGAGTCAGGAAGTATACTTCTAGAATGTCTTTGGTTGTATCCCAATTCAGGGTCTGCAGCGTTAAAGTACGCAGCCTCAACGATCCTCAAGGGCCGCGTACTTAAAGACCGCTAAGGCCGGAAGTGCGAGGCTTGTGAAATGAGACGGTCTAGCCTCCGTTGCGCTGCCCAGGTTGCCTAGCAACCATGATACTAACAGCTGGAAACGTTTCATACAGCTTTGTTTGACAGAAATGAAGGAGAAAATCTTTTGTTCATTTGTTTGTTTGTTTCTACATGAGCTTTAATCATTCTCTGTAACATTAAGGTCAGCTATTGAACGGCGTATATTTTAAAGTAAAGGCTTTAAAACCAAGTTAGTACAAACGTCACTAATGTCACATAACTTTGCCAACATGTGGCCAACAGGAATGTTTTAATGTTCTTTGTTATTAAACATTTGCACATAAATAAGTGACATAATATTCAGTACTTACTTAAAGTTTACTTTTCGGGCGCCCCTCATCCGCCGTTTTTTTCGGCAAAATTATCCACACCCACCACCACGCTATGCATTCTGGGATATGTTGGGCCACGAAGTGTACACCGCCACGTCCTTAAAATTCAGGGAAATGAAGGACGCATTTGAGGGCCGCATTTCGAGCAGCCTTCGAATTGGGACAGCCTTCGTCGCGTCGCGGTGACGTAATCGGCCTTAAAATGCGGCCTTTAAGGCTGCAGACCCTGAATTGGGATACAGCCTTTGTTTGTCGAGTGAGGTCATGCACTGAGGTCAAGACACATAGGTTGCCTGTACATACACAGTATCTAGACTTGTTTTGCTCGAAACTGCGAAGTTGTTTTACCTGCATACGTGACAGTTTAGTTCCACAGATAAGTGAAGTGCAGTAAATGAAATAACAGGAAGCATCTGGCGGTGGCGGAGGAACAGAGGAAGGAACTGTTTTTTTTTTAATGTGTCCAAGCTTGGGATTACTGGAACTGATGCATTTTATCTATCTGCTTCGACGCACAAGGGGCGTTATATTTCCTGATACCCTGATGTTATAAATACGACTGCTCGTTTATTGTTCTGAGAAGATCGATGCTATTTGGGTGATCGTGCTCGGCTTCCCACATATATGTGTTTAAATAAATGGACCTCAAGTCGTTTGTCTTTCACCTCAAATCACGAATCAGGACGAACACATATAAGCCACTTTGGATAGATTGAAACTACTACTGTGATGATCACTGAATGTTTCCTCTAGTACCATCATCTGGTCAAATATGTAAGACCAAAGAGGTCTGAATGTTGATGTTAACAAGAGCCAATCAATGAAAGAGCTCCTATGTGGGTGGTTGTATACTATTAATAGTATCCAGCAGATACCTCAGCTTGAAATGATCCACTACACTGAGCACACTGATTCAGTAAGACGTCCTGATGTTTTGCAAAGAAGCAGACTAAACAATAAAAAAGTAATCATAGTTATAACGACAGACTAAGATACACTTACAGTCACACTTCCATGTTTCACAGCATCCTTCAGAGACCTTTGTGATCTGGTCTCTGGGACAGGTGGGAATTTTGGGCTCTGGACAAGTTACTGGGGTCAATACAATCTTCCCACTGACACAAGTCTTATGGTAGCAGTCCTCTGTCCATGTCTCACTGCAAGCCCAGCGTTTATTCTTCTTGAAGTCTACACATTCACACACTGGTAACGTGTAGACACAGTTGGAGAAGAAAGCAAACAGAGAACACTTTGAAAATTAGCTTCAATCACTTAGGGAAGCGACAGTTTGAATCGCCGAAAAGTTAAAACATGAGCTGAAAAGTTACCCTGCGATGTGGAGCTTTTTGTTTGTGTTGATCCTGCGCCAACAGTGGTTGGTCCTTTTGAACTCCTGGAGTCTGTGGTAGCTGCTGCCACTGAAGACGTGGAGCTCATTCTAGTTGTAGATGATGTGATTCGGGAGCTTGTAGTGGCTGTTGTGTTGGTTTCTTTTGGAAGTTCTGACGTTGAAGTTGCAGCTGAGGTGATCATTGGCACAGTGGTCGTGGAAGACATTGTTGATACGTTTTCAGTGGTCGTCAAGCTTGTAGGGGTGGTAGTTGGCAAAGTTGAGCGGGTTTTAGTAGCTGAAGTAGTGTTAGTTGTCACTGTGGAGTTTGTAGTGGGCATTGTTAACAACTTTTTGGTAGTAGGTGAAATAGCTGAAGTCAGTGGTACAAAGGTGGAAATTGTTGACCATGTTTTAGTGGTACCTTTCTCTGTTCCAGTTGCTGGAGATAGAGGAGTTAGAGAGGTCGCTGCACCTGTTGTAGCAGTGAGTGTGAAGGTGATGGTGGACCATGTTTCAGTGGTAACTGGAAAATTGTTAGTGGGTATCACTGGTGTGGTTGTCTTTAAATGCACGGATGTTTCACTGGTGATTAAAGCCGTTGTTTTCACATTTGTAGATGTGTTGGCAGGTGTATTTGTAGAGGGAGGTGGTCTGTCTGTGTGGAAAACGTAATTTAGGATAGTCAGAAAAAAATTAATTAATTTAGTAACAAGTTATGCACGAATAAAATTCTTACTTACGACAATTAATCGCTCCATTTTCGCAGCGGCTGGATAAAATAAAAGACTGAAGTTACCAGGTGTCAATGTAATTGTTAATGTAATGTCTGGCAAAGCAGTTGTGTGTCTAGTCACACTAAAATGTACACAATGTGTACACTCACCATGCAGAAGAGTTCAGCATGACCAACTGTCCTGGGTGAACAACGGTGGCATTGAAATAACAAGAGCAGTTGCTCACTGTAGTGCATTCACCAGTATTATGATCATAGTATGGCGCTTCATTTGGACATCTAGGATAACAGCCTTTGCCAATAGGAGAAAGAAAAAATAATTAGCTTACACCTAAATGCTATAGAACATAGAGTGCTGTTGTTGTGGTATTGTTTTTCTTGTTCTTGTTTTTAACAGGTGGACTGATAAATTTAATCTAGTAAATTAGTCAATCACTGGTTTGTTTGAGGAGTGACCTTGAGCCACGTAAGATCTCTTTATTAGTCGACTGGAGAGACCTGGGAGCTGAATGTAAATAAATAAGACTGCTAATATAAGCTGAGGTCAGCCCATTAGGAGCCTTTAAACTGTCAGGAAAATCTTAAACTGACTTCTAAAAGGAACAAGATGCCAGGAATCAAGTGACAGGCTCATGTTTGTTAGCACCAGTCCGCACTGTCACATGCTAACAGAAGGGAAGATAAATAGGATTAGGGAGTTAGAATTATCCAGACATTAATTAATAAAGGCATAAATGAGTTTTCCCACATTATGGAAAGAAAAAAATGATTGGATTTTGGTTCTTACCCGATAGTGGCTCATTTTGACCACAGAATTAATTTGTCAAAGCAAAGCTAATAAACTAAATTACCAGCAAAAACACTTTGGATGCACCAAAAATGGTAACCTCAGTTTATCCTTTAATTGGAGGAAGTTATTTGGTATTTGACATTAAACATCTTCAACACAACCCAAGAGAGTTTGTAGGGAATCCTGGAATTTTAGTAGGTAGGTGTAGCTGTAAGTCATCAACATAGAAATGAAAGGAGATGTTGTCATGTACTGTGTGGCAGGCAGGACACAATGTGCAAACTCCAGGAGACAAAAAAGTGCACTCAACACCACTTTATTGCTGAACACACTATAACTAAACAGGCTGGCAGACAGAACACACAGGGTAGGATGAGGAAGATCACAACACAGACTAAGGAAAACACAGAGGGAGCAATCGGGAAACGGGAGACAGGAGGGAAACACAGCTGGGACAAATCAGACCTAACGAGACAAGGGAAGCAAACCAGACACACACTAAGGCTACGTTCACACTGCAGGTCTTAATGCTCAATTCCGATTTTTTGATCAAATCCGATTTTTTTGTCTGCTCGTTCACACTACAAATAAAATGCGACAGCAAACGTGCTCCAGTACCACATACGAAAGTGACCCAGATCGGATTTGAAAATATCGGATTTGTGCCGTTCACACTGTCACACCAAGATCGGATATGGGTCGCATAGGGTCAAAAAAATCGGATTTGATGCGCTTTCGCCTGCAGTGTGAACGTAGCCTAAGTCACAGCATATAAACAAACAAAATCAACACCACTGGGTCACTAGACCCAAGTACCCTAACAGATGTTATGCATTGTAATAATATTACCAAGTGAACAGAAGAGAGTTGGAAACCTGATGGATCCCACAACAAACAGCAGAGAAACCTTTTATCTGTCAATACTGTGCTGTCCACGGAAAGACATGCATTTCCCTCTGATACAAAATCAGCTTGTATCAGATTTCGTCTTAAACTCATTTCTGAGCCTGTACATCAATACCAGTCACAACCAAACCCAGCTGCTCACCATCATTTGAAGATCCACTACTGCATACCATGTATAATTCCCAAACATGCTTTTTATTGACATATGTTACGTCACGTTACCTTCAAGCTTGTAAGCGATGTCATTTCTTTTGCCGCAACTTCTCATTTTACCACAGACTTCATAATGCCACACATTCTGTCCCGGCTTGTTATAGTAGTCGCAGTAAATTGCTAATATGTCACAGTAAAAGAATAATAACATAAGTTATTGCATAACACAACACATATTATATAATATTATATACTTTTTAATTGTTAATTGGAATAGATGCGCTATAATATTCATTCTTTACAAACGAAGTCTTACAGCTGTCTCTCAAGTAATGACATAAAAATGCAGCTTTAACTGTTATTTAGACATACAATAAGTAAAGAAAAATGGTCCTAACTTACGACACAGGTCAGGTGTTCTCCACTTTACACAGACATCCTGGCCACTGCAGGCCTCTGCATAAGCTGCCACAGCTGTGCAGTAGCCCAGGAACTTCCCTTCAAACTCACAGGAGCAGGACTCAAGCAAGCAAGCCTGATAGTAAGGATCTGGGTTCACCTGGGGATTTGAGAACATCAACAGTGGGGTTTTTAATGGGCAAATTCTAATAAATGACCCATAAGATCTAAGTTCTTTAACTTTATACCAATGCATTTTGCAGGATGTTGATGTTATAGAAATTCTATTTTTAAAAAAATGCATACTTTTATGTGGCAGTCTTTGAAAGTGTCTCCTTTAATAATCATACAGCGCCGCTGGGCCCAGGCTGAGCAGTAGGAGTTGCGATCACATGGAAATATATCAGCAGTTACATCAGAACAAGGAGGAGTGGCTGCCTTCCAGCTGTTTCCAAAGGCCATCGGACTGGATCCCACTGAAAACAGATTTTTTAAAAATGTATTTATTTTTATTTTATTTTATTTATGATAAAAACAGAGAGAAAACTGATTCACCTGCTGAGCCACTTATCTGCAGGTCGTTCATCTCATTGGAGTCAAAATTCCCACACAGGCCGCAAACTTTGCTCTGCAGGTGAGGTTTTTTTCTTCAGTTTTAATAATTATAAGTATGGGTTTTATGATAATAGAATGTGAAATTGTATAAAATCTGCTTTTAAAAAAGCACTTTCCAGCATTTTTCCATTGTACGAATATAAATCTTATAATAATTCCTCACCCTCCAGTTTTCATGCAGCTTTATGGTGAGCCGTGTGTGTTTGTCCCAGATGAGAGTGATCCCGCTGCTCGGCACTGACACTATGACGTAGAGTCCCACAGTGTCGATACTGTAAAGTGAATTTTCCTGCATTGTAGAGTCTTGTTGTAGGTTTTTGGTCACCTTCATGTCACTCAAAGTCACGGTGACTTTGCCCTTGTTGGGTCAAAGCAAACGAATTACAATCCATATTATTTGACTGTGTAAAATGATCACTATTACTGCCTCTACTGAAGGTCGTCTTTACAGTTAATAGAAGATGGATTTGATCAAATTAGTAAAAGATAAGGAGGCAAATAAATAAACTGACATTATAACATGGTTAGATAATAATTCATTCACCTGCAGGACCAGGACAATGGAGCGAGAGCAGGTGAGCACCTTTTCACAGCAGGGTACGCGCTCCACTCTGACAGAAAACGTGCCCTTTGTATTTCCACAGTAATCCTGACATAAGAGCCAAATTACAGTAAATAGCACAGCTATAAAGAGATCCATATTACATTCAAGCTTTCTGCACTCTGTCACTTTCTATTGTATTTTTATGTCACTTTTTTGGTGGGGAGGGTCTCACCTCTACAAGTGTATACTGACAGTGTCCACTAAATCGATACCATTTAGCGTCAAAAGTCTGATAATGTCCATTTCCATAGACTTGACATGTCCCAGGACACGGCTCGTCTTTGCAGTCCCACTGACCCTGACCACAGACACTGTAAGATAAAGTCATAACACTGAGTTTACAGAAAAACAAAACTTGGCGACTGAACCGGTAAAGTAGCGTTACCATTTTTTACAGTTGGTTTTAACAGTCTCTCCTGCCCTGAAGACTTTCCCACTGTACACACAGGTGCAGTCGTCCCGTGATACACAGTTTCCATGGTGATCTTCATATTGATCATGTGGGCAGTAACAGCCACTCTCACAAGCTATGATGGCAAACTGGACATGAAAGCAGAAAATGACTAATTAGCAATTCGCAACTAATTAAACTGGTTTTTGTTGTGTTAGAGCTCCAATTTAGCCACAGAATAACTACACAAAAGTTAAAATAAGTAGTAGTTGTAACTGCTCTGGAGTGTATCACCAAAAAATATGTCTCACGCTATAAAATAATATGAATCTTTTTTGATGGTAAATGAATAACACAGGTAGCTATTCATAAAATCATCACCCTTAGACTTACCAGTGGTTTGCTGAGACTCGCACATGTTTTCTGAGCCGTCTGAATCGGGTGCTCTGAGCAGTGCACGCAAACCTTCCCATTCCTGCATCCTAATGAAATCATTCAAGACACATTGGGCAAGTGTACAGTCCAGAAAATGTTCAAATCAAAACAGTTTTGAAACCTTTACTGTATTCACATCAATTCGTACTTATTTTTTATTTTTGGTTGGACCAAAATAGATTTACCACAATCCGTGGAACAGGTCAGTTCTCCATTTTCACACAGGCTGCAATTTGACAAGTAAAATGTTGATAAATGATACTGTATCATTTTAAATACCTATAAATACTGTGTTTAGAGGGTCATCTCACCAATGATGTCCATCGATAACAACCGGCCCTGGTGGACTTACACCACCACGATGGTGGCATTCACAGTCTGCCTTTGGAGTGCAGGTGTTTCCTTGGTTTTGGTATGTTCCTTCTGGGCAGCCACAGCCCTCCACAGAAGCATCATCCACTCCACATCGAGGGTCAGACTCAGTAATGGAGCGGCATGTACTGTTACAAGCTCGGATGTTGTAGAAGAACTCTTGGTTCTTTGGACATGTCGGAGCTGTGAGACAACAATGTGATGAGCACGAATGGCACTTTTTTAAAAGTCATTTGTCACATTTTCTGCTGCGCAAAGTTCCACAATATTTGCTTCTTTCAAAAATTCAAACACTTCAGACAGACTTTTACATTTGTAGTGTACACAAGTTCTTGAAAACATGAAAAACATTGATTTCATCTTTTCTGATTAGTTATTTTTGAATTAAAAAAAATCTCAGTACTGGCTCTTCTCCACAAAGTCTAAACCTAATGTGTCTGGTATTAACATTATTAATATATTCAATATATTATGTAACCCTTTGGTATGTGAACTAAAGCTTACTTACTGCAGTTGGCAGCTTTCCTCCAGTCACCGATCAAAACCCCAAGACTCGCACAAGCTTTGGCGTAGCTGTCTAATGCAATGCACAAGCACCTCTGCACATCGTTGCCACAATTACAGGTTCTTTGAATACAGGCCTGCCAGCAAATACAATTTTCACCTTAATATTGATAAGTCAAATTAACTTATACAAAGTTGCTGTTTGCTCATAATGCGTGCTTACTGCGTAGTATTGATCCGGTGGCAAATGGACATGGCACTTAGCAAATATGGCAGTCGCGTTGATCAGCACAGAGCACTTTTCATCAGCAAATATTTCTAGAAAATGAAATTTTAGTTTGTAAACATATCTTGTGGGGATTTTTTTTTTTTTACTGTATCACAGGCAAGCATGCAAACTACCAATAAAAATCTATGCTGCCTTATAGTTCACACTACAATAATTATTGATATGAAAACCAAAATGTCAATTTTGTTGTCAAGCTGAACTCCACTATAATTCCAGTTGTGCATTGCAGTGTTTGAATGTATACATGCCTTTTCAGTCTTTGTTACAGTTATAATATTAACTGGTACCATTGTGAGTGTTGATGCATGTACTGGGTATGTTCACAGTGCAAGCGCCCAGACTCCAGGACAGAGCAAAAGGTTCAGCTGTGAGCTCGATGATGCCGCTGCTGCTGGTGAAGTCGTCTGTGCTGTCACTGTTGCCGTTGCCACAAAGACCTGAACGACAGACTGACTGATCAAAGTGGATCGTGCCAACCAATGATGCTGTTTAATGTGTTATCACCAGCGTGTTTCCAACCTGAAATGATGCCCTTGTGTTTCCTAGGAGCAGAGATGTAAAGTTGGATTTCAGGTGACATCTGGAGTTGGAGCTTAATATCAGAGGATGTCAAGACTTGAATGTACATAGAGGACTGCCAGAAAACCTGGGCCCCATCTAAAAGGTAATCGGTAAGATAATATAATGTTAGTAATTAAGGCATTAAGGCATGCATCTATTACAAGGTTGCTAGACAATTTATATGAAATTACCAGCCTGATACAATTCACTAATCTCTTGGTCTCCAACTTTAGCCTTGTTGTTTGTGAATGTATATGTTTCCTGAAAATAAAAACCAGTATTCAAGGTTACTTTTTATGCTTGCTAGTTAGATGTTCAATGGTTTTAATTTCAGTGCTGAAAGACTGTCTTTACCTGCAAATGCTGGAGGAAAACAGCTTGTATTGATGGATCCTTTTTAGAAAATGTAATTATTACTGTCCAGTTGAAGCCCTGCATGTGTCCATAAACGATTAAACCAGCAGTTATTAGCACAGGCAACTTGAGAAGATTCATATTAATGAAAAGGGGAGGAGGACAAATTACCTGTAATGCTAGGTATGTACATTTACCAGGGACAGTGTACTGTTTGCCATCAAATGTTGACACAAACTGACCTTCAATCTGACATTTAATTGGGCAGTTTTCAGAGCAACGCCACTTCCCACCTTCACACAAACTGGAGACAGGGTTGATGAAGAGGTTTAAATAATTTCAATTCATTATTCACAAAAAAATCCTCATAAATATAAATCCCTTTATCTGGGTCCTTACCATGACTGACACTTGGTGCTACGTTTCTGTCCAGTTAAATAGGTCCTGCCAGCGAACACACAGGTGCAGTTTGACACATTCACACAGTGGAAGCCATCCAAGTGATCATTAAGCACTTTGCCTACGCACATGTTCAGTACAGCCTTAAAATGTGGCAAGCCAGCAAACAACAACAAGAACAAAACACATCAATGATTTATACCCTGGGGAAATTCTGGCAAGGCTCACCCTCTGGGCAGACGCAGGAACTGGTGATATCCTGGCTGGAAAAATGGGGGTTTGGGTTGGAGCAGGTAGGAACAAATGCAGCACCCTCTTCTTCATAAAGCAGTGCTCCCGGACAAGTTGGTCGAGCTACATTCATCCACCAAAACAGGGACAGCTACATCAAATTATGGTGAGTACAGGATATGCCACTTATCGTTATTAATATTAGTATTTTAAACAATTAGTTACCACACTGGGTCACAGATCTCCATTTCTCCCACACATTACTGCTTTTTCCACAGTGCAGAACAATCTCTTTAAAGAAAGCACAGCCGATGTGTTCACTGTTTTCATATCCGTAAATGTTTTTGTGACACAGCTGGAAGTAATGAAGCCGACTTGATTGCAGACAGCCCAAAGTGTAGGAGAAGAATTGTTCACATACCTGGTAGTTTAAAAGACATACTTACATTTTATTTGAAAACTGTAAATACAGTTGTCTCAGAAATTCAGATTCATAACGACGGCATAACTGACCCGTTATAATGTGTTAGTGAATCATCTGTCTATTTTTCAAATTTGTATACAGAAACAAAATTACAAACAAAAAAAACAAGTTAATGTAAACCACGTGAACCTACTGGATTAGGAACAGAGACAGGATCCCTTGTTTGGCACGTGTCATCTGTAAGCGCGCTCTCTCTGATCAGCTGCTGCTCATTGCCTAGATTCATGAAAAGGTGCATTCTTTGAGCAAAGTGTCTGTAAACAACTGTTATCATTTGCAAACAAAACCTAAAATATTCCTATAAAGTGTCACGGTTCTGGGTCAGTTTGACCCAGTGTAACGGAGTTAAAAATACATCAGAAAAACGTGCACTTACCTGTTCTTAATTATTATTTTAAGTGTGAATTTTATCATTTTTTTTATTGTATTTTATTTTGAAAACCCAGAAACCGGATCTCACTCTAACGTTTAGAAGCTGCTAAGGCTTCCGCTCCTCACACCGCGCGCTTGCACTGTGAGGGTAAGTTCTGTAATGAAAGGCTCTGGCATTTTTATGGTTTCTGGTGTGAATGTTGTTACATAAGTTGTACATGTCGATGTATATAGGTTCATATTGATATTAGAAAGTTTCTGTGTAACCGAAACAAAGGCTGGTTGCTGTTAAACAGTGTTTCTGCCGTCTTTATGCTCTTTGGCAGTAAGCTTTTGTCAGCCCCCTAGTGGTTGCTGCGCATAGCAGGAAATGTGTTTGATTTACTGTTTTTCTGTGCTTTTTGTGATGTTGTTTTACATTGTAGGAGCTACAATTGCTAGTACCATCAGAAGACACCTGTTGAGTGTGTTTTATGTCTTCTGCAGGTACGTGAGCTTGTTAACAGTCATTTTGTCTGTAAAGCACAAGCAAGTGGAAATGTAATGCGCTACTGTTAAGTTGTCCACTAGAGGAAAATGTTTAGCCGGTGATACTTCTGTTATCCTGTTATTTTGTTTTATACGATTGTGAAATGTATTTTATTAGTCATAAGATTTATTTTTTGTATACAAGTTCAGTGTGACAGACTGAAAAATGGGAGAAATTATTATTTTCCATCTTTTCTGTATTAAAAAGTTAATTGTAAGTCTGTTGAGACAGCGCGCGCTTGCACTGTGAGGGAGCTACAATTGCTAGTACCATCAGAAAACACCTGTTGAGTGTGTTTTATGTCTTCTGCAGGAATAAATCGTGAAAAGCCAACCTTTCCGAGCGTCTGTGATTTTTGAAGAGCTGGAAGCGTTACACCAGTATTTTGAGTTGTTATGTTTTGGTTTGTTTTTGCATTTTGGATTCTTTGCTTATTATTATGCTGATTATTATGAATCTATGTTTCAGTTATTCTTGTTTAGGGATTAGTTCGTAGGTTTTGTGTCCTCATGTTTATTGCAGGTTTAGTTCAGTATCTAGTCTGTCTCTGTGTCGTGTCTGCGTTTTTGTTTAGTGGTGTCTTGTTTCCTGTTTTACTCTGAAGGTTCATGTTCCTGTCTTATGTCAGTGTTTCTAGCTTTGTTCCCCCCAGTCTCATTAGGTCTTATTCCTCCCAGCTGTGTTCCCCTTCTGTCTCTAATTCCTTGATGACTTCCTCAGTGTATTTTAGCCCAGTGTGTCTTCGTGTCAGTGTCGCGTCGTCTGTTCATACACACTATTATATCTAGCTGCACGTCATGATTCTAGTCTGCAAGATTCAGTATTGGACATGTTCATAGTCACTTTCTCCAGTCATGTTTCCCTGCACCTTCATGTGCCAGTACCGGGATCTCGTTCACAGTTTTTCATGTCGTGTTCATAGTCTGTCCACAGTACTTCGTCATAGTTCAGTCCTGGTCTTCGTTCATAGCCTTAGTTACTCCCAGTTTAGGTTTTTAGTTTTGTCATTCCCATAGTTTATGGTTTGTTATTTTGCCTTCTGTATCAGCCCTAATTAAAGGCTCACTTTGAGCTTAGCACAAGTTTTGCCTCCAGCGTCTGTGTCCGAACCTGGGTCCACCAAACACACTCTCCACACGGTCTGCCCTTGCGGGCCGTGACATAGTTTCTGGTTATCATTTAGGTCACACCTGTTACGTTGCATTTTCCACACAGTCCAGTCATGTCAGTGCTCAGCTCCTGCTCCAGCTCAACCTTGACAGCAGATCAAATAGTAATTTTAGGAGTTGCACTTATTGATTTAAAATGCATATATGTGTGTGACTGTGGTTAAGTTTTCCCTCACCTTGAGAGTGTCTATTCCTCCAGCTACACTGTGCCAGGTGACTGAGAGAGGCAGCAACGTGCTCCTCAGTTTAGTGTAGATGCCGTACTGAAAAATATGCTGGTAGGTGTGATCATATGGAAAGGAAACACTGTAAATAGATTAATACACAGAAACATGTGAGGTTGCCTTAACAATGCAAATTATTAATTACTGCACTGGACTATCACAGATATTATCTTTCCCAATATGTAACTTAGGTGTAACTTAGTAAACTACCATTACTGATTACGTTGTAATACAGCTATCCAGGGTGAAATACAGCTTTGACAAGTGAATAAAGTCAATTGGCCCAGTGTTTTGATTTTTGTATCATTAGTATTATTATTATTATTGATTTAATGATTTCATCATGGGTTATGTCCACTAATGCTTTGGTTTCTGTTTTGTACTCTAGCCCTCCAATTCTTCGTGGCTTGTGAATTCTAGTTCTTGGGTTTTGTTCTTGTGCCCTCGTGTTTAGTGTAGGTTTAGTTCAGTCTCCATGTTTATTATCTTGTTCCCCCCAGTCATTTGTGTCTCTCGTCCTTCCTGTCCACGTGTTCCTTGTTCCCTCTGTTCTGTATTAAGTATGTGCCTGTCATGTGTTTCCTGTTTTATTTTGATAGTCCATGCCCTGTGTCCAGTGTGTCTGGATTTGCTTCCTCGTTAGGTGTGATTTGACCCAGCTTTGTTACCACCTGTTCCCCATCCTTTCATTGTCCTGCCTGTGTATTTAAGTCCTGTGTTTCTCTCTGTCAGTGTCGTGTCATACCCTCACTGTGCTGTGACTTATTTCTCCTCCGTGCTCCTCAAAGTTTTCTAGCTCTGGTTCTTAGTTTCGTTTTCTAGCTTCCCAGTGTCTTCATTCCTTCCTTCCTTAGGATTTTTGTTTTTAGTAGTTTTTTGTTACAACACAATAAAGCTACCTCTGTAAGTTTTTATTCTGTGTACTGTGAGCCCGGCAATTAAGTCCTTTATCCTGCCTGCCACACAGCGAACCATGGCAAAACTGAACATTTTTTAATATTAATAATTTGCATGACTAACTGCATCTAATATTTTCTCTTTTTTGTTTATTATTCGTTCATTTAAAAATTCTTTCTTTTCTCTGATGTTTAACAATCTCAACTGACTTTACTTGATTTTACCCAACTTAGACCGAACTAATCCAACCTGGCGGTAGAGATTATTCTGACTTCACCTACATACGTCTACATAAAATTCAAATACTTTGTTTGTTATTTATGATTCTGTCATTATCATCTGAGATATTAAAAAGCAGAGATCAATTTTGTAGGAATGCCACCATCATTGCCATCACTTTTGGCTAAGAAAATGTGGTTTCACATTACTTCACATTGTTTGGATTTGGACAAAGAGGTTGGATATTTTCTGTTAAACATCATTTTCGCTCTTTTTTTTTTTTTTTTTTTCTGCCCTGTTATTACATTTTTTTTAAAAATAAATAAAAATACAAACATAATAAACAGTGTACCTTAAAATTACAGAACATAGTTGCATTGACCTTTTGACCTGCTGTTAGCAAAATACCATGCATGAATCACTCATGAGATTTCTGTATGCTACATTGGTCCAAGCATGAAAATACCAGTTTGTTGCTGTAACACTGCACACTATGCCATGTGGCAAATATTGAGGAGAAAATTTTAAATACACAGACTAATAATACATGAGATATTTATGTAAACCAGAATTTGGATTACTGTACAGCTATTTTTGTATCAATGATGAACTATCTGAGTGGAGTTTGGACCAAACCTTTTGTCCTCTACCAGTATACGTCCATTCTGCAGAACAGTCCTGACTTTGTTTATGATGATCTCCACTTGGACCAGCAGCCCGCTGTTCCCTCGACGTATGGTGATGTCACATTCAACTCGGTTGTGGATGAAGTGGGTGAGAGTAAACGGGCAATTGGACCGCACATAAAAAGCTGAATCTTTAAATGGCTCGACAACACCACTACCAAATGTCCTGCAAGTGTCTGATCACAAAAACAGTCAGTTTAATAAGGCTTCCTAAGAGTGGACCTCGAATGGATTTAACAATAAAGCAACGCATATGTGAATCATTTACTGTGTAAGACTAATAGTTTTCAAATGTTATCTGATTTTGTAATTCTTTCCAATGCTGTAGTTACCAATGCTATTTGTTTATTTATTAAATCAGAATTAATTACAAAATCTAAAATCTAGTCCTTTACTAGCCTTGAATCATGTCAATTTATAGAACAATATATGATTTTAAATAAATCAATCAAACATTAAACAAGATTAAAAAAAAAAATAGAAAACTAATCAATAACAACATCATGAAGAAAAACTGCATACTTACATTTCTGAATTTCACTTGTCACAGATTCAAATGTCCTAGAAACTAAAACAAAAATTTATTTTCATGATTTATTTAAACATGTCCAGTAAGACAATATTTAGACTATAGCAGCCAGAAAAAAGGCTACTTTTAAGAAATATGGCAAGAAGTTAAACTGTAAAAAAAGAAAAGGCCAAATTAAAATTTGTTGGATTGGCATTTTACTAATTTTTCTCTTTCTTTTTTTTTTTTGTCAGCGGACAAAATAAAATGAAAATGTTAAATTAAAAGAATGTGCCGTACCTGAGGACAGTATAAAGCAGACGGTCACTATCCATCGCAGTGAGCTCATGCTGCCTGATGTCCCCTCGCTAAACATACAACCATAAACGAGCAGCTCAGTAAACGGCTAACATTCAGCGTTCAGTTACATACAGAGCAAACTTATTTGCTTATTTGACGCAAAAACATTTAGTAAAAACTACAAACAACATGGCTTCTATTAATTTCAGCCTTCACTGATACACCTACACCTGTATGGAACCTCAGTTTAATCTTAAAATATATCTTCACCTTAAAATACAAGATTTTACATAAATTGACTTATTTGGACACATTTTTGTGACTGTGTACACAGATTTATGTCATCACATTGGTAATAAATACAAACACACACACTAGATTCAACAAATGAATCTACAACCTGAAAATAAAATTAGAGAAAACCATCTTACTTTCAAGCACAGGTCCAATATTAGGCTTGGTAGGTGACCACAGGCAAAACTATTCACGAAATATCTGCAAAGTTTTAGAGATGCACATATGTGTGTGGTTCAAACTAAACTTACTGGGAAACAGATGCTATTGCATAAACAGTCCCACCTCTCCTTTATTCACTTCCTGTAACTGTACCTTGATATCACTTGGACTACGCCCATGACCAGGTCAAGAAGGCCCCAACACCCCTATTGTTCTCTCTTGTACTTTCTTACATCCACTGTGTTTCTTCCCAGGGCAAATGCACAAAACGCTTTTCTTGCAACTGTGAGAGCTTGTCTATAATCCCAGTTACTTAGGGACACACTTGTGACAGAGGCCGCACATGTTCTTTTTTGTACCAGTGAGAACGGGACAGAAGGGAAAATTGAGTAAAATCCAGAAGCAGAGTAGCATTTAATCGTACCATGCTCGGATCGGATGTGTAAAATTTAAATAAAAACAAAATGCAGTGATTTTAAATCATTATTCACTATATCACGATGAAATGTTACAAAAGATTGTAGGTGCTATGTCAGCAGCAATATTTAGGGTACTTTGAACCCAGGCTTCAGGAGTCATGAGGCTAAAGGTTCAGCTGAGATACAGGAGTCAAGACTCAACATCACATACCCTTTTTAATATTAACTCAAAGGGTTTAACAGAAGGTTTACACAAACTGCTTTGAAATTACAGATATTTTCATACATCAGTCTCAAAAGTAATTACACAGTTGACTAATGAGCTGGAGTCCTGGCAAGGCCAGATGAGATTTCTTAGTAAAACATGACAGTGCATGTGAATTTTTAGGCTGAAAAACAAAACTAACCAGAAGCAGAAAGATTTCTAAAAGTTTGTAACACCAAAAGGCTGAGAATACCATAGAAACACCCAAAGTGGATGATCAAAAAATGTTCCCTTGGTTAAGAAAAAATACCTTACAGCACCTAGCTGGGTCATTTTCAGGGAGGCTGGTGTAATATTGTCTATATACAGAGTTTCTGTCATAAATGTAAATACAGAGGATTTAAAAAAAAAAAAAGCAAACTACTGGTTACACAAAAACAGAAAGACCACATAAGACTTTGCTGGAACACCAATCAAAACTGCCTCTACAGCAGCGGTCTCCAACCTTTTTTGCGCCACGGACCAGTTTATGCCCGACAATATTTTCATGGACCAGCCTTTAAGGTGTCGCGGATAAATACAACAAAATAAAACTAGTACCGGTACCGAAAAAAAGAAGATTTATTCATAATACACGTGAAAAGACCCAGGAAAACCGAGTTAACGATAAAAACGATACAAAATAACGCTGAAAACCGATAAAAACCCTGAAAACTATACATTTCACACCTGAGCCTCAACTCTCGCGGCCTGGTACCAAACGACTCACGTACCGGTCCGAGGCCCGGGGGTTGGGGACCGCTGCTCTACAGCTCTTGAAATTAAATGCAGGAACGTGACTTAAAATTGGGGAGCACAACAGTGTTCAGCAGTCAGCAGTTAACACCTCAAAGTGAGAGTGCCCTTAGGCTGAATTCACCAGTTGCCTGAGGCCTTTATTTAGGGAGTTTGCAATATTATCTCTCTTCCCCTAAAGGGGTACTTCTGTTTTTCCCACAGTCCAAAGACATGCACGTTAGGTTAATTGGAGATTGGTAAGTATAAATGCAACAGATTTGTAACCACTCTAGGCTGTGCCCTGTCATTTGCCCTATGAGAGGGGGGAGAGGCTCTAGCCCCCTCTGTGACCCGTGAGTTACGAAGAATGGATAGACAGATGAAACAAAGATTAACTAATTAACAGCTTCTCTGAAGCATACCAGTGTTTATCGATTATATGATAATGACCCAAGGCATACTGGAAAAGCAACACAAGGGCTTCTCAACGCAAAGAAAGGGGATATTCTTCAAAGGCCAACTCAGCCACCTGATATCAACCCGACAGAGCAGCTTTTTTAGTTTCTGAAGACAAAACTGGAGGCAGAAAGTGGCTGCAGTAAAGGCCTAGTATCTCAAGAAAGGAAACACAACATCTGGTGACTGCAGAGGATTTTTATCATTCTTCCAAAATACTGTTTTAGGGGATGTATAAACACTAAGAGTAAAAACCCCAGAATAAGATTTAATATGTACAAAACTAAGCTAAAAGATACAAAACATCTACAAAGACATGAACGTGTAAGAAAAACAACAACACAATCTTAGTCCGGGGATCTACCTTGGAGATGAAAGAGTGCTAACCTTATTCCTCATCTATACCCAGAGGCCTGTTGTTTGGGGATTTTGGCTTGTGTTGCTAGTTTGACTTGCTTAACTGAGATAGTTGTTGTTAACAAAACCCCAAATGTAACAAACTTAGCAAAGTCATATATGGTCTACATGTATATATACAATTGCGCTGAGACAAAGGGATAAATTGAAAAGAAACAGTTATACCTCTTCTCCAATCACGTTCTGAAAGTGAAATCTGATCTAACCTGGACTACACCCCGGGTCAAGACAACCACAGCTCCAGTTTTGTTCTAAATCTTATCCTCTTACCACCTCCTTTTCCGATGCTTCCCTCAAGACGTAACAAAGAAAGTGAATTCAATTTAGCTAGATTATATATTGTGTGTTTTGCTTTAAGAAAAGAAAGAAAAGAACATTTGTTATTGTATAAGAGTGAAACCTGCTAATCTCTGCAATTCAGAAAGGCACAGTCCAGTCTTCAAACATCACTACCAATTACTATTATCATGTTATTTGTGTTATTTAATTTAAATGACATCAAACTGATCAAAAAATATGTAGCTTGCAGCCAGTTGTAGATGTTTTGATGGAAAAGTATACAAATCTTTCAGAAATAAAATAAAGATTCAAATGTCCTAGAAACTCTTCTTTTCAAAGACATGACTCATTTCCTAAATATAAAAATAGGCTCTTAATTTGATTAGATCTTTGTTTTGTGTCATATCTTTTAGCTTATAAAATAGTTTAACTTTTACCAAAAAAAAAAAATGACTAACTACGGAGCCCCGCAGGGGACATGGGAGAAAAACAAACTCGGGATCTCGCAAAAGTTTTGCGAGATCTTGCAAAAGTTTTAGCCGCATTCTTCGGAGGCCGCCAGCTCGAAGCCGACCGGGAGGTCGAGGCACGATGTGCCGGGAAAGTGGTGTTCCTCCCGGCTGTAGTAGGTCTCGACCTCCCGTTAGCTTCGAGCTAGTGGGTGTTAGATCTCCGAAAACATCGGAGCACTTTTGCAAATATGTGATGTCTTGCAAAACTTTTGCAAGATCTCGCAAAAGTCCGTCTTAATTTTTTTTCTCCCATGTCCCCTGCGGGGCTCCGTAACTAACAGCAAATTTGGTAGCATTAAATATTCTGTTGGTCACCAAAATTTTCAAATTTGACATACAGCTAATTTCACTGACATGATCAGACACAAACACATTGTTTTCAACTAAAAAAGAACCAAAACAATTTCCATTAAATTATTATAACAGCATGCTGGGAGTGCATGTATATCATACAGCTTGATAGTTGGTGATTGGTGGTTTCCTTTAAGGAGGATACTCTTACCATGCAAATTAGTGACACTAGCTGTCATTTAGACTACACTATATATATTTTTTTTAGAAAGGACTGACTGTGTCATTCATTACATATCATGAAACAATGAATGAAAAAGAAAGATGACACAGGACTGTTGTGCAGCTAGAATCCTACATCTGGTGAGAATGGGAGAAAACTGCTCTTTGAAAGGTCTAGAAACTCATTTCCCCCGAATCCAGATGTTTATGGACTGTTGTTAAAAGAAGAGGGGAAGCTACAAAGTGGTAAACATGGAGATGCGTACGTTTTTCTCAGTTTATAAATTTAATGTTTTCTTTTGAATAAACTATAAGCTTTTGAGATTTGTGAATGATTACTATATGTCTTAACATTTTCACAATTTGTCATTTGTAATTTAAAAGGTATACTGAGTTGTGCTCTACTAATCAAAAGTTCAAAGCTTTTTCTACTTTCTAACCGACATTTTAAATGTAGGCGTGTAAAAATGTGTTTTTGATGTCTCAAATGAAAAAGAATATTCTACTTATCAAATACACAATTTTGTTTTCAGCAGGTACCTTTAAATCATGGCAATTTCAAAATTCTCTGACCCTACCCATAGCCAGAGGGCGTTGACCTACAATCTCCTTGTCTGAAGATTTCTAAACAGCTCTAATCCATGTAGTAAATGATGAACTAGACCGACTCCTTACTCTGCAGGACAACAATCTTTGGAATTCCACTTGACCACTTAATGATAAATGATTTTGTTCATTCAGTCTGACCTTGATAACTTAAGGTAAAGGTTTTCCACTGAAGACCTGATGGGAGGTCAACCGTTGCTTTGTGTGTTTGAGTAAGTATAACTCAGGCACGATGGAGGTATTTTTTATTGACATTAAGAAGTACCATACTCCAATCTCTGTAAAGTAGGTAAAAACAAGCATGTACTCAAACACGGGTCATCCATGACTAAAGGCTGGCAACTGGACAAAGAGATGCGTTGAAACATTCAGAGTATTGCCAACACCAAATGCTGGATATTAATAAAGGCTTTAAAGCAAGACCTGGTAGCAATATTAAGACATACTTTTGCACTTTTTCTCAACGGGTTATTATCTGTGGGTAAACTTCATTTCTTATTCATTAAAAAATTGCAAAATGTGAACATGTCTAAATACCTTCTACGGAAACCTTTTGTGAAACATTTAAACTATAACTAACATGTACATAATTAACTCGTTCAAAATCTTCTCGTTCTCTTAACTGGGACTAGTAGGTTTGAGTCTATTACTTCAGTTCTTTCCAACCTGCACTGGCTCCCCATTAAATATCATATTGATTTTAAAATCTTATTGCTCGCTTTTAAAATCATAAATAATACCACACCCAGCTATCTTACTGATCTCCTCAGCTTAGATCAGCAGGCCAAATGCTCCTGGGGCGACCTAGATCTCGGCTTAAGACCAAAGGTGACTGCGCGTTCGCCTCTGTTGCACCCTACCTCTGGAATAATCTCCCTCAAGCTATTTGCGCGTCTGATTCAATTAAATCTTTCAAATCTCGATTAAAAACGTATTTATTTAGCCTTTAGGCTTCCTAGAGCTCGCATTTGTAAGTGTGCTGTAATTTATCTTTTTACTCTGATTAATCTTTATAATGATTTAATTTCATTGCCTTTTGGCTTGTGCCTACTGTGCCTGGTGTATTATTGGTTAGTTAGGTCTCCCTCCTGTCAATATATTTGTATCTTTTATTGCTTTTAATTGATTCTGTGAAGCACTTTGGCATACCTCTGGTTTTTAAATGTGCTATATAAATAAAATTGTATAATTTAAAAAAAAAATACACTGAGACAAACGGGTAGGAATCGTGATGAAGTTTATTATGGGGTTTTTACATTCAAGAAAACAGAAGAATACATGCCTTCATAATAGCAAATCATTCACTTTATTTGATATAAAACTGATTCAGCATTTACTTTATATAAGGAACAACATTTTAATACGTTTAGTTTTCATGTGACAATCTAATGGATAATTCTTTCTTTCATCTGAGTTTTATTTTTCAGCTTGAGCCAGAAGATCTACAAGCACAGCTGGTGATGTGCTTGTAGTAGTATTGTCTCGTACTGAGGTCAGAGCAAAGCAGAGTCACTGGTCTCCTCTCTGATATCCAGTCCAGACAGTATGTGTTGCGCTGCTCCAACAGATCACCATCTAACTCCACCCTGTTGCAGAGGAGAATGGGAGCGGGTGAAAGTGGGATAGAAGAGAGAAACAAAAAATCTAAATTTCAGAAAAATATCCAAAGTTCGCACAGAATTCATACAACGAATCTAGATGCACTTTTCTTTGGTTAGTGATTATGAAGTGAATAACAAGGGCCTCAAATGCATTAATTTGCATCATCACTATTGCTCATCTCACCTTGGCTGAGATTCACATTTCCCCTGACACACAGGCATCTGCATGACAGTGGTGCAGTTATCTACAGTGATGTTGAGGGTGGACATCCTAGCAGCACAGCCCTGGTTACCTGAAGTTTGAAGTAACAAAGTAGAGGTGGAACAATGTAAAGAGTGTGAAATTAAAATAAATAAATTATAGCTTTCATTTCTATGTGAAATGTTAGATTTAGGGTCTGACTTACATGTAAAGCAGCAGTGTTGGTCATCCCAGATTCTGTCCTCCTAGAGAAAAAGCCCCACAAGTTGTAAACTTTAATTCTTGCGCTTGTTCACACGGTATTTAATTGTAGTTTCTAAGCATCTTTTAAAGATAAGTCTTTCTTTCTCACAGTGCTTGTTCTGACAGTGTTATTCTATTGTTATTATGTGACATTTAAATATTGAATATAAATAAATTCTAACACTTTAGCTTTAAAAAGCTCTGCAAATAAATGTAAGTACTGTGTAAAGCTTTACTGATATGAGCTTATTGTTGTAGAAAATCAATCTAAGATTTTACAGTTTACTTGAACATTTTTACCTCAGAGCAGCTTTCATTGGAGCAGACTTTGGTCTCAGTCTGAATGCCTTCTTTACTGCACTTCAGTGACCTGCAGGGATGGGCAGGATCTGTCCACCGATCTCCCACCTACATGCACAAAGAACATTTTTAATTGAAAATGAAGAATCAGACAATGGTTGACAATGATTAACAATTTCAATCAATTTAATACAAAGAGACATTACAATAAAATTCAATGCAGCATACCTTGTATATCTTCTCATTATAACTGCAGGTCTTGTCAACTGAAAAAAAAGACACGTTTTGTGTGTGTGTTTGACTTTGCTATGTTTTTAACAGCAGACATTTTGATATGAAACACAGATGTTATTAAAAATTAACCTAACATTAGTTAATGTGATTTGCAATAAATGTGTGTGCCTAATATTTCATGTCAAAATGTTTCCTAAATTATTAATTAATTAAGAAGAGGCCACTTTAGGCTTCTCCCTCAATACGAGGGGTCACCACAGCAGGTAGCTGCGTTTGAGTTTATGCTGGATCCTCAAATGGGATTTGTGTCTCCAGCTGGATGTGAACTACAAACCTTTTACATTCAAATGCATAAATCATTACAATATGGAGCCACCTATTAAACAAATCACCCAAGCAAACAAATTAAAAAACAACAACAAGTAACTGACTCTTCAAATATATTTGGGGTCACTAACAACATCAAAGATGCAGCTTCGCACAACTAAAATATATCTGCTAATAGATATAAGGTGTTGTTCTACATGCATTTGTGTATTTGTTACTTGCTCTTCTGCGATGCATTATCACATAATTGCCAGTTGAGATTTGGAGGTATGAACATGTATGCCAAGATATCAGCAGGAATCTCTTATAAGATATATAATATATATGATATTTTTGAAGTATTACCAACAACAAAGTTTGTGAAAACTACTCCAGAACTACTTCTTAATGAATAATGATAGCCATAGGTATGGAAACTGGTATTGGTGGAATCATTCTACCATGCCTATTTTTTTTAAACTGGTAAACTGGTAAAAATGAAGCTTTGGCTTCTAGTTTGGAGTAATCATTGCTAAGAACTACAGAACTCACTTGTTGAGATTAGACTGTATTTTAAGTCAGGGTTAGTTTGTCTATGCAAATTTTTCCCTTTCACTGTCATATTTTCATCATTTTGTGCAACAAATTCCAACTAATTAAAAGCTGAATATTGTGCTGACATTTTGTCCTCGCTTGGAGATAATTTTAAAAAATGGCAATTTATGAAAAAAATCAACATTTGCAGTCTTGTTTGACCTTATAGTTATGGAATATAATAATTAATTGTTTGTTCTGTGGGGGGTTTTGCAATCATACACTGCAAAATCTCCAGTGTTAAATTGACACTAGAAAGTGTCTATATGTGTTCACTCTTTTGAGTGTTAAATTAACACTTTTGACAGTGTTATATTTCTAACAGGAAGCTAGTCACTGTTGAAGATTAACAATGACTAACACTGAGCAGTGCTGATTTGCTATCACTGGAAAATAACTAAAAATGCTAGTAATATTTCAGTGTTAGAAAAACA